CATTTGCCTGTTTGCGTTTTAATTAACTTACACCGGCTTAATGAACTTTCCAGACCTTTAGCCCGAACTCAATCCGAAAGAGGCTGCTTATTAGCTCTTGACATGGTGCCATGGCCATCTCATTGTGCTCCGGATATTTACTGGGCCATTTGCAGATGTAATTGTTGTTGCTCACATTTGATCCGATGGCCAACACCTTGGGCATTGGACTTAGGGCACCTCGTAAGCTGCTTAACCGCTGAGCTCTTGATTTCCAAATGAAGTCGTTTCTTGGGGATAAGCAGCTACAATTCGCAAAGTCTTAACATTATAATTCGCTCTTCTCACCATCTTCGCTTCTAAGAAAAATGTACTTTTACTATTATAAATGGAAAACTACAACTTTTCAAAATTTTATTTTTCAAATCTTGTGTAATTTCCTATTTGTTTTTAGACTGTCTATGTGTCAATTATTATAACAGCTTTAATTTATATCAATTTTAGAAAAGTAAGAGCTGTACCTTAATAAATCTATAAATCGTAAGAGAAAATAATTCTATTCAGCGAAAAGGTAAACGCGGAAAACGTATATATAATAAAAACACATAAATTAAAATGTCATTAAGGTCTGTTTTGGTCGCATTTTCCCAGCTTGGCTGCACAAAAATTCGATAAAACTTATATTTATAATTGAGCACAGAATTTGCCAGGTTATGCCATTAACAGAACATTTTCTGAAATCGACAATTTTCCTACAAAACAACAATTGTAAGCAGAAGAATAAAGCGAAATAAAATTTATCATTCCAATTTGTATTTTTCCGTTGGCGGGATTAATGGTGTTCGTTTAATTTTTCGTGGAAAACCGCCTGGCACTTGAATAATGAAAGGAAGGCTCGAAGGATGTCAATTTTTCCGACATCTTTTCCTATTTGCACTTTCGCCCCCGGCAGCCTGTCAAATATTTGATTTGGCCTTGGTCTAAGCTCTTTTGAAGGCCGTTGCCCACTTGAAAAGAATGGCTCTCGACACGAAGGCGTTTGAATCGTACGAGAACTCGAGTGGAATTTTAAGATTAGTGGACTCAAGATGGACTCGCCTAATTGGGCAGCTTATTAAAGCACCCTAACTGGCCGTAGTCATTGAACTTGAAGTTGGGCCAACTTTCTGCAGGGGAGGAAACAGCTGCTGGCAGGAAAAACATTTCGCCCACTTACGGCCGAGTTTCAGCCCATATAAATTTCCATATTACAGCCGAGGAGGAAACTGCACAAACATAGTTGATCCAATTAACTGACTAAGAATCACTTAGGTTGAAAGTTTAGTCCTGGACTCCACTTCACTTCGCATTGCTTTGAGGCATCAAAGTTATCCTTTTTAAATGCCTACTCAATCCATCCTGCAGGTCCTGGCACTCACACATGCCCTCCATTTCATTGTCCTGCGGTCGCCGCAAAGGAAGTGGGATTGCTGGGCTTTTGACGAGACAATTTGTATTCATTGCCACTTTAATATTTAGCGAGGCGTACGCCGATGTCAGTCACTTCACAGTGAAGTGATTTTTTACCCTTCCTGCTGTGTGTGCTTTATTCACTTTTTTCCAGTGATTTTAAGTGCAATAATTTGCATAGCAACTGACACGATATCACTGTGAAGTGCAGTGCTTCCCGCTGGCACTCACTGCCAATTGACGAAACAAACACGCTAGTTGAACAGTTGGCAAAAAAACGGGTGAATGGCCTGAAAGCTATTTAAATTAACACATCCGAAAATGTCCGGATTAATTGCCGCATTTTTATCATTTTCCCAAAGAAATAGAAATCGATTTTCATGTCTGTTTGGAAGGATTGCTTGAAAATAAATAAAAAATACTTACGTTGGTCGTTAAATACAAATATGTCTTTAAAACTAAGTTATCGTTCAGCATTTTTTTTAAATTTACTTTATAATGTAATGTTTATTATATAAATGTTTATTTATTTATTTATGTATGTATTTTAAATGATAGTTTAACTTACAAAACTTATGCGACTATAGTTGTTGAATATTAAATGTATATATTTAAGCGTTAATTTGGTCTTAAATGTTCGGAGACATTTATAAATGTCATTTATATTTACCGAAGAGAACCGCATTATAATGTATACGAATTCCCCCTGTTTCCACAATTGTAACCAGCTCCCTCCGAATAAAAATGTAAACATTTTGATCCCCGAATCTTACATACCCCTCCGCACCTTTGAATCCTTTGACAGGGACCCTTCTTCTTTGCATTGCAACTCATTAAAATTGTTAAAGGCCAAACAGACGGCAAAGGAGGAAAAGGCGAGAAGGGCGGTGAAAAATCAGGGAAAGATGCCAGGGCAAATGGAGGAAAAGGAAAAATCCGCGAATGAGTCAAGGTGAACCCACTCACTTTGGCGCAGAGATCCGTTTCGCCAAGCAAATGAAGTAGGGGTCCGGACCTCGGAAGATACCCCCACTCCCCGGAAAACACCCTTTAACCTCCCACCACTGAAAACCATCAACCTTACCGAATGCATTTCCTCTAGACTTTTTCCTCGCTTCCTTTGTTTATTTGCTCGGTGCGTTTTCAGTTGACTGCGTTGCTTGTCGTGTGTCGGGAAAGCGGAAAAATCGGGGATGAGGCATGGGAAAAGGGGGAGTGGGCGGGGAAAATGCAATAAGTCACCGATTGGCGACAGGCTGCACAAATGTGTGGCCTAGTGCGAAAAAGTGTTGCGAACATAAAAATGGGTTACCAGTGCAAGGCTGCCCAAGGCATATTACGTATACGTACGTATACGTTATACAGTTGCCCAACGTAATGGAAAGCCATAAAAACGATTTATGGCAGTGGGAAAAGGACGCCAACAGGGCCAAAAGGGTTAACCAAGGTCATGCCCCTGGGAGGACTTTAACCTGATCTCTCCCTTACCTTGATTTGTAGTGGTCATTATTTGGCGCATAATGAAATAATTAAAGGGTCAATATGGGAATAAAAATGTATTAAATTATTAGCTGACAAAATAAATATAAGGGATAACATGTTATCTAAATCAATCTAAGCTTTTATTTGTTTTTCGCTTATTAGTTCTGCAAATAGAATAATAAATTTATTCAAAATTGATACATTCTTTCACAATTAATGTCTCTTACAAATATTAATGCGAATCTCAATAATGAGGGAGTGCAAAAGTTGAACCAGCTGACAAGTACAAGGTTCTCTTATCTCTCCACCACACAATTGATTGAGTTTGGGGATTTGTGGATATCATTAGCTTGTCCCACATGACATTTGTGTTTGTCCCCGTCTGATTTGGCCATTTATATTCACATTTCCATTCCCCTGGCCACCGAGATCCTTGGATTTTACTGGGGCTGGGTTGCAATTAATCGTTGAAAGGATTACACGCCCCCACATAGGAACTCGGAGTGGTCCGTTCGACTCTCATCAGCCCACTTAAGTGATGCTAATTTATGGCCCCGGCACATCTTGTTTGTTTGTCGTCTCCGATGAATGAGCTTTTCCCTGGGGTCTTTTTCCCTGACTTTGCTCGTTTGCCGCTCTGTTTGTCCGTTGCCATTTTCACCAGGAGTTTTGCGGTAAGTTTATAAGCCGAGATTAGGCGGCATTGTTGCCAGTTTTGTCCACCGCTGTCTGTGGCTTGTTGCTCGCATTTCAATTGGACAAGTAAGAAACCGGAATATAATATTAGCTCGCTTGGAATTAAAAGCTATAACAGACTAACGAGGCGTTTCAATTGATCGTGACCACAGTAAATGAGACTGGGGATATTGTTTTTTATAATTTAATAGACCTTTACACAGAAATTTGAAGATTTATTCCAATTATTTATTATTTTTATAGCATTAATTTATTTAATTTTATTTATTATTTTAATAGCATTAATGATGCTTAATGCTTGTTTTATTAAAAGAAATTTGGATATTTTATAAAACTTTGTGTAGTTCAATGAGTATTAGAATTAAATAGTACTTTTACTATAATTCGTATTTGTTCAAACAGATTCGAAACCACAATAACACAAAGACTATTAATGTATTTAACCTTCTGCCCTAAAGAAAAGCCTTGAACCAGGTTAAAGGACACCTTTGCCCTCTTCATTTGCATCCAGCTTCTATCCCATTAATTTCAGTCGATTGTTATTGTTGTTGTGGTTGCGACACCAAATTGCAACCGCATCCGAATCCAACCGCCTAATCAGCGTGTGACTCGCACACTAATGAACTACGGCCGCCAATTAGCCAATGGCCACGCCCACCGCCTCCTCTTTACCCCTCAATTGACCGCAGGAGATGAAGTGGCGCTGACCTGGTTAACAACACAGTCCACCTATTGCCTCTCGTTATCCATTTAATGACCTCGACTGTCATCAGTCAAAGGATAGTGTCTCTCCTTTGAGCAATCTTGGAATGCTGTAATATCATCCCATACAGGAGGTCCAAAACAATGCCCTAGTCATCAATGGTTAAACTATTCCGCATAACTGCTTGATGAACAGTTGTGGCTAAGTTTATTCGTAAGGTTTCCAAGCTTAGAAATTTCACAGGTTACACGCTAAATAGAAAGCTATTTTGTTTAATGACCGCTAATAATTTATTTAATTTACTTTAAGGGTATTTTTTTTTGTAAGAAAAATAAAATACAATTTTTTAATTGAGTATAAAATTATAATACGAGGAAAAACATCTTGCTCGATAAGTCAGGACTTATACTCAATGTTTGTGCTCTAAATAATTTTTAAGAATAAGTAAATGTACTAAAAAAATGTGATTTCAAAAAAGCCAAGGCATTTATATGAAACTTTTTATTGTAAAATTTTAAAGAACAATGTCTATCCAAATACTATAAATGTCTATCCAAATACTATAAAGCCTTGTGCGCTAAGTGTATAAAAACTGCATTAAATTACCAAGTCGAAAGCGAAACGCCTAATGAAAACCAATTCTCCTCGGCTTTTACTAAATCTAGTAGGAAGATTATGACTCTGGCTTGATCCAAGACAAAATGAGAATGTTTTTTGGGTCCTGGTTTGTGTTGATCTTGCTGTCACGGGGCACCCTCGGAATTCAAGACGGAGTCGACGCGCGGTTTGAGTTGTGGAGTTTCATGGCCTCCCTGTGGATTAACGGGCATCACGAGTGCGGAGGGACCGTCATCGATAATCGAATTATCCTGACAGCCGCCCAGTGTGTAGCAGATATTCCGCTGAAAAATTTATCTGTACGCGTGGGCACAGTAGATATATATAAAGGTGGCAGTATTATCGCGGTAACTGCAAAAATTGTGCATGAAAAATATCGTGAGTTGAACAACGATATTGCCCTTCTATGGCTAAAGACATCTGCCGTATCCGATAGAGTGGCCAAAGCTCCACTGACCATTAAAGAACCCGCTGAACGCGAATTCCCAAGCAACGCAGGATGGGGCGAGAGGCAACTGGAGTCCTACGATGCGCCCAGAAAGCTTCAAAACGGAGTCACCAAAATCCATCTGCGAAAGTTTTGCAGTGATGAGCTTATTGAAACGATTGGCGATAACCTTCTTTGCTCCTATTACACGCAAAACGACATTTGTCCAGGCGACTATGGAGGTCCCCTGATCCTGGGCAACAAACTAGTCGGCATCGCCATCCAAGGACATGGCTGTGGATATGTCAATCTGCCCTCCATCTACACGAATGTGTTCCATTATCTTAAATGGATTGATGACAATTCCAAAAAGATCAGGAAAAATAAATAGAGTTATACAAATAATAATGATAATAATAAATCTTTATTTTTAGATAATTAACAACATTAAGTTTTAAAAGTATATACGGTAATATTAACATTAGTAAATTGTAGTTTATTTCTATCATTAAAACTAATGGTTTTATACCTGTTTATCAGCAGCAGAATTTTCAGTTATATTTTTTCAAGGCTCTAATTTATCAGGGTAAAAGTTGTTCATCAGCACCTCATACATTTGTTTACGTTGCATATATGCTGTAAAAAATACTGAAATCATAGACAAGACAGGTGACTAAGTAAGGGAACTTACTAAAATCGAACTCACCCATCAGCAAAGAACCAATAATGACAAGCTTGGATATATGACGGTTTGCCTTTGTTTTTTCCAGTTCCAAAGGTGCGTTCAAAAAATCCGGACATTTGGGACAGAGCGGCTTCAGTAGATCCCTTTCCAGGACCATTTTACCCAAAGGAGATTGTAAATCCAGTCCACAACTAGCCAGTGAAAGAGGTGTTGCCTCAAGGCGAACGTGAAGGCTTTTCGAGGAGATATCACGGCTGGAAACTCGCCGGAAAATGGCCAGCGTTGTCTCACCATTAACCTGATCTCGGGGAGCATAAGTGGATTGGATACAGAAGCGGTGATGTTGATCCAGATCCTCGTGAAAATCGAAATAGTTTAGACTAATGCGGATCTCAATGAAGCAATAGGGTTCTATCATGCCGGCATTGGGACTCACATGATAGTACCGCCACACATTCGATTTTATCTGGAATATAGTCGAGATTTTTAAGGTTTTATATGAATAAGTTATACGTTACCTTACCTTAAACAAAACCTTCCTGTTATTGGGATTCAGCAGGGTGAGCATACGCCTTTGACTGCGATCATATGGGGCATAAAAAGTAAGCCGTTGAGGACTCACGCTAAGCAAATCCATTCTCCCCTTTCAAAATCTTCCTTTTCCAATTGTGATTGATTTTGACTTGTGCCTGCTGGTTTTTTTCTCTATTTTGAAGGCAACCGAAATTTTTCGGAAATATGTATGCCAGCAATCGGAATGTTTTTGACAGCATTTGCATATGCTGCCCATCGATTCGAGTGCAGTCCATGTTTTCGCATTTATGCCACCAGCTACAGCACCCTAAATCCCCCAAAAATGTTCCAACTGAATCGAATCGCTGACCACAGCTGGAGGCATCATCACGCATTAGCATTAGGCACTTTCCATGTTTGGGGCAGCACAGCGCTTTGAAATTATTTGCAATCCATTGAACTCGTTCTGGGCAGCCGGCATTCCCACAACCGAATCGATGATGAACTCAGCTGTCCAGTTGCCTTTTTGGGTCATTCATTACCCTGCGGAGTACTGAGTCTGCTGCACAATTGATGATGCCATATGTGGGGCGCTCTGGATAAATAATGACATTCGGTGGATATTTGGATGGATTCACCGATTCAATTCCGTAGCTACATTTTATGTCTATTTTTATACTCTTGCAGAGGGTATTGTAATTTCAGTCAAAAGTTAGCATCGCAGTGAAGGAGACATTTCCGACCAGGAAAAATGGGTCAAAAATTAGACCAACACTAATATGAAAAATGTTCATGCAAAATTAAATTACGAGTCTTCAGAGGTATGCCACTTTGAAATCGGATAAAATTTGGTAAAGTTATGGACTTTGGAAGTCCAGTTGTGGGCCACCTTTTAACAACACATCGGAAACTTGGAAATAAATGACATGGAAATGGGTCAAAAATAGAAAAGATGACAAAATTCAGCGAAAAATCGACATAGCTTTATTGTTTTTAGTAATATAGGCATAGAAATCGAAATGTCGATTTGTAATAAGTGTAAGGGTATATAAACTTCGGCTTGCCGAAGTTTACTTCTTTTCTTGTTTACAATACAATAAGAGAATCATGTTTATCGTATCTTAATTATAAAAATCAATTTTATCGGTTTAATGCTTAATCTTCTTTAAAATCGTACTTTCCTTTGCACTGTGAGAAAACCTTTACTGATTTACATTTTATTATCCTTAAAATTCCAAACAATAAAACGGATTTGTTCCCTCCGTGGGACTTGAAACAAACATTTATTTTAAACAAACTTTCACCTGTCTTTGAGTGTATTATCTTCCATGCTTTTCTATTAATTTATTCTATTCCTTTTCCTAGCCGTTGATAATGTCGTGGACTAGCTGCTTGTAGTTGACCATTCCCTGTTCGTTGATCCTGCCCCTCAGCAGTTCATCCACCTCCAGTTTGCTCATGCACTCCCCGCTCTGGGTTAAAATACGCAAGATACTGACGGCGGAGAGAAATCCGGAATTATCCGTATCGAAGAGATTAAGGCAGGATGTGAACTGCTCCTCTTCGATCTGCCTTTTCCTTGGACTCGACCTGCCGCCATGTTTACCCAGGCTGCAGTATATGGTCATGACCTCGTCGAAGGATATGCGCTCCAAGGTGGCGGCTTTGAGTTGACGGACATGTCTGTTGACCATCGCCTCGCTGGGATTGGCACCCATCACCCGAAGACAGTCGCCCAGGTGGCGGATGGATATCTTATTGTCACCACGACTGTCGTGGCTCAGGAAAATCGCATGCAACTCAAGGATGCGGCGTTTCTCCGGTTTTGGACGGGGAGTCGGAGCTGTCATGTCGCCAATCCTCTTCTGATTGAAGCCTGCTTTTGATGATGACGAATGAATGGATGAGGAGTTGGGTTGATTGCCTGCCTTGGACATCGTCGGGCAGGTTGGGTTTACGAGTCACGGTCACGTTTTATGGGTTATGGATTACGGAATATGGGATGGACAAATGCGAGCTCCAATCCAATCGTTATTAGCTATTGGACGACACTCATGGCACTGGGAAAACGGAAAACAATGATTGGAAGACACTGAGATATGATTATGCCGAACATGCTGACAGGTGAAAGATGACTGACTAGATCTATAATTATTATTCAAAGAGACCAAGCAGATAAAATATGAAATTTTGTTAAAATTTAAAAAGGCTTTAAATAACCAGAAAGGAATTAAATCATATTTCTTAAGAAAAGCCATATTTCATTTATTTGAATTCATTGGTACATTTATTTTAAAATGTTAATCATGGGCAGTGATTAATTAAATATTTTGTTTGATTGTATTAGTTATCCAGTTTTGGAAATAAGCAACATCTGCGTAGACTCCAGGATACCCAAAAGCGCACTTGATGCCATGTGAAACTATACCAATTAGCTTCCGATCAGATACGCTAACCAAAGGACCACCGGAATCGAATTGACATGAATCCTTTCCATGAGCGCTGGCACAAATCATGTCCTTAGTGATCATTATTTTACCAAAGGCTTTCTTACAATCACTGTGGTTAACAACAAATAGCTCAACGCCATTTAGTGTTGGAACAATTTGTCCATCATATTTAGTATGTCCCCATCCTGAGACCAAGCTCTTAGTTCCAGCTTTTGGAGACTTATCAGCCAAATCTATTTTTTGTACCTCACTGTTGAATTTAAGGGGGGACGCCAAAATAAGCACAGCAATGTCATTTTCATCAGTTTGGCTATTGTACTGCTCATGAGGTATGGCCTTCTGAACCTTCACCACCTGACCACCTTTGCTCCAATGCGAAGATCCGGCGCGAACTGAATACCTTTTAAGGTTTACTCCTTTGAGGCATTGAGCAGCGGTCAGAATAACCCGCTCGCTTAATATGACGCCACCACAGTCATGTCCATTATGTAGCAGCGTCACTTGCCAAGGGACATCTTTTATGGCCATGCTGTAGCCACCAACAATCCTTTCTTCTGGCCCAGGAATCCGAGCAGCAGAAAGCAGGACAACGATTGATAATGAAATAAGGCTCTCGAAGTACATGGTAACTTTGTTTGACTCCAGTTCTTGATGACTGAACTGAAAGTTGTGCCACGCTTTTATAGAGCTGTCTGACTTTACTCGCCAAATACCTGGTCTATAAGTTAGTAAGTTAATGGCAAACTAATCAGTAACTATTTTTAGCTTATTATTTCAAGTTCACCTTTTAAAAAAGAATCGTTTTATTTTTGGCATAAGTGTACAGTTTAATATGTGCAGCGCGTGTTGGAGTCTTGCTAATATCTTTTGACAACCTTCATAAAATAAATATTTTATTGTTCTTTTAAGTCAAAGAACTAAAGAAAGGTCTGAAAATATTAATAAATTTTGTTGGTTTTAACATTTTTTATTTCGGTTTTTTGATCAAAACCCTGGGAAATAGTTCTCACACGTTGGAATGCCATACCTCGTTAAATTCGTTATGAAATTTCCAATCGAGTGGCATTCACAGCTAAAAAATTTCATTTTGGTCGGTTTTTCGCCAAAATTGACACTGTAACCGCTTATGAAAAAAGCCGAAATCCGGAGATCCGGAAAAACGGACTTCTATTTCGGATTTTTGATCAAAATCCTGGGAAATAATTGTCAGATGTTGGAATGCCATACCTCTCTGAATTCGTTATGAAATTTCCAATCGAGTGGCATTCACAGCTAAAATATTTCATTTTGGTCGGTTTTTCGCCAAAATTGACAATGTAACCCCTTATGAAAAATGCCGAAATCCGGATATCCGGAAAAACTAACTTCTATTTCGGTTTTTTGATCAAAATCGTGGGAAATAATTGTCAGATGTTCGAATGCCATACCTCGTTGAATTCGTTATGAAATTTCCAATCGAGTGGCATTCACAGCTAAAAAATTTCATTTTGGTCGGTTTTTCGCCAAAATTGACAATGTAACCCCTTATGAAAAATGCCGAAATGCGGAGATCCGGAAAAACGGACTTCTATTTCGGATTTTTGATAAAAATCCTGGGAAATAATTGTCACACGTTGGAATGCCATACCTCGCTGAATTCGTTATGAAATTTCCAATCGAGTGGCATTCACAGCTAAAATATTTCATTTTGGTCGGTTTTTCGCCAAAATTGACAATGTAACCCCTTATGAAAAAAGCCGTAATCCGTAGATCCGGAAAAACGGACTTCTATTTCGGTTTTTTGATCAAAACCCTGGGAAATAATTGTCAGATGTTGGAATGCCATACATCGCTGAATTCGTTATGAAATTTCCAATCGAGTGGCATTCACAGCTAAAAAATTTCATTTTGGTCGGTTTTTCGCCAAAATTGACAATGTAACCCCTTATGAAAAATGCCGAAATCCGGATATCCGGAAAAACTAACTTCTATTTCGGTTTTTTGATCAAAATCGTGGGAAATAATTGTCAGATGTTCGAATGCCATACCTCGTTAAATTCGTTATGAAATTTCCAATCGAGTGGCATTCACAGCTAAAAAATTTCATTTTGGTCGGTTTTTCGCCAAAATTGACAATGTAACCGCTTATGAAAAAAGCCGAAATCCGGAGATCCGGAAAAACGGACTTCTATTTCGGATTTTTGATCAAAATCCTGGGAAATAATTGTCAGATGTTGGAATGCCATACCTCTCTGAATTCGTTATGAAATTTCCAATCGAGTGGCATTCACAGCTAAAATATTTCATTTTGGTCGGTTTTTCGCCAAAATTGACAATGTAACCCCTTATGAAAAAAGACGTAATCCGTAGATCCGGAAAAACGGACTTCTATTTCGGATTTTTGATCAAAATCCTGGGAAATAATTGTCAGATGTTGGAATGCCATACCTCTCTGAATTCGTTATGAAATTTCCAATCGAGTGGCATTCACAGCTAAAATATTTCATTTTGGTCGGTTTTTCGCCAAAATTGACAATGTAACCCCTTATGAAAAAAGCCGTAATCCGTAGATCCGGAAAAACGGACTTCTATTTCGGATTTTTGATCAAAATCCTGGGAAATAATTGTCAGATGCTGGAATGCCATACCTCTCTGAATTCATTATGAAATTTCCAATCGAGTGGCATTCACAGCTAAAAAATTTCATTTTGGTCGGTTTTTCGCCAAAATTGACAATGTAACCCCTTATGAAAAATGCCGAAATCCGGAGATCCGGAAAAACGGACTTCTATTTCGGATTTTTGATCAAAATCCTGGGAAATAATTGTCAGATGTTGGAATGCCATACCTCTCTGAATTCGTTATGAAATTTCCAATCGAGTGGCATTCACAGCTAAAATATTTCATTTTGGTCGGTTTTTCGCCAAAATTGACAATGTAACCCCTTATGAAAAAAGCCGTTATCCGTAGATCCGGAAAAACGGACTTCTATTTCGGTTTTTTGATCAAAACCCTGGGAAATAATTGTCAGATGTTGGAATGCCATACATCGCTGAATTCGTTATGAAATTTCCAATCGAGTGGCATTCACAGCTAAAAAATTTCATTTTGGTCGGTTTTTCGCCAAAATTGACAATGTAACCCCTTATGAAAAATGCCGAAATCCGGATATCCGGAAAAACTAACTTCTATTTCGGTTTTTTGATCAAAATCGTGGGAAATAATTGTCAGATGTTCGAATGCCATACCTCGTTGAATTCGTTATGAAATTTCCAATCGAGTGGCATTCACAGCTAAAAAATTTCATTTTGGTCGGTTTTTCGCCAAAATTGACAATGTAACCCCTTATGAAAAATGCCGAAATCCGGAGATCCGGAAAAACGGACTTCTATTTCGGATTTTTGATCAAAATCCTGGGAAATAATTGTCAGATGTTGGAATGCCATACCTCTCTGAATTCGTTATGAAATTTCCAATCGAGTGGCATTCACAGCTAAAATATTTCATTTTGGTCGGTTTTTCGCCAAAATTGACAATGTAACCCCTTATGAAAAAGACGTAATCCGTAGATCCGGAAAAACGGACTTCTATTTCGGATTTTTGATCAAAATCCTGGGAAATAATTGTCAGATGTTGGAATGCCATACCTCTCTGAATTCGTTATGAAATTTCCAATCGAGTGGCATTCACAGCTAAAATATTTCATTTTGGTCGGTTTTTCGCCAAAATTGACAATGTAACCCCTTATGAAAAAAGCCGTAATCCGTAGATCCGGAAAAACGGACTTCTATTTCGGATTTTTGATCAAAATCCTGGGAAATAATTGTCAGATGCTGGAATGCCATACCTCTCTGAATTCATTATGAAATTTCCAATCGAGTGGCATTCACAGCTAAAAAATTTCATTTTGGTCGGTTTTTCGCCAAAATTGACAATGTAACCCCTTATGAAAAATGCCGAAATCCGGATATCCGGAAAAACTAACTTCTATTTCGGTTTTTTGATCAAAATCGTGGGAAATAATTGTCAGATGTTCGAATGCCATACCTCGTTGAATTTGTTATGAAATTTCCAATCGAGTGGCATTCACAGCTAAAAATTTCATTTTGGTCGGTTTTTCGCCAAAATTGACAATGTAACCCCTTATGAAAAATGCCGAAATCCGGAGATCCGGAAAAACGGACTTCTATTTCGGATTTTTGATCAAAATCCTGGGAAATAATTGTCAGATGTTGGAATGCCACACCTCTCTGAATTCGTTATGAAATTTCCAATCGAGTGGCATTCACAGCTAAAATATTTCATTTTGGTCGGTTTTTCGCCAAAATTGACAATGTAACCCCTTATGAAAAAAGCCGTAATCCGTAGATCCGGAAAAACGGACTTCTATTTCGGTTTTTTGATCAAAACCCTGGGAAATAATTGTCAGATGTTGGAATGCCATACCTCGCTGAATTCGTTATGAAATTTCCAATCGAGTGGCATTCACAGCTAAAATATTTCATTTTGGTCGGTTTTTCGCCAAAATTGACAATGTAACCCCTTATGAAAAAAGCCGTAATCCGTAGATCCGGAAAAACGGACTTCTATTTCGGTTTTTTGATCAAAACCCTGGGAAATAATTGTCAGATGTTGGAATGCCATACCTCGCTGAATTCGTTATGAAATTTCCAATCGAGTGGCATTCACAGCTAAAAAATTTCATTTTGGTCGGTTTTTCGCCAAAATTGACAATGTAACCCCTTATGAAAAATGCCGAAATCCGGAGATCCGGAAAAACGGACTTCTATTTCGGATTTTTGATCAAAATCCTGGGAAATAATTGTCAGATGTTGGAATGCCATACCTCTCTGAATTCGTTATGAAATTTCCAATCGAGTGGCATTCACAGCTAAAATATTTCATTTTGGTCGGTTTTTCGCCAAAATTGACAATGTAACCCCTTATGAAAAAAGCCGTAATCCGTAGATCCGGAAAAACGGACTTCTATTTCGGATTTTTGATCAAAATCGTGGGAAATAATTGTCAGATGTTCGAATGCCATACCTCTCTGAATTCGTTATGAAATTTCCAATCGAGTGGCATTCACAGCTAAAATATTTCATTTTGGTCGGTTTTTCGCCAAAATTGACAATGTAACCCCTTATGAAAAAAGCCGTAATCCGTAGATCCGGAAAAACGGACTTCTATTTCGGTTTTTTGATCAAAACCCTGGGAAATAATTGTCAGATGTTGGAATGCCATACCTCGCTGAATTCGTTATGAAATTTCCAATCGAGTGGCATTCACAGCTAAAATATTTCATTTTGGTCGGTTTTTCGCCAAAATTGACAATGTAACCCCTTATGAAAAATGCCGAAATCCGGAGATCCGGAAAAACTGACTTCTATTTCGGTTTTTTGATCAAAATCGTGGGAAATAATTGTCAGATGTTCGAATGCCATACCTCGTTGAATTCGTTATGAAATTTCCAATCGAGTGGCATTCACAGCTAAAAAATTTCATTTTGGTCGGTTTTTCGCCAAAATTGACAATGTAACCCCTTATGAAAAAAGCCGAACTCCGGAGATCCGGAAAACGGACTTCTATTTCGGTTTTTTGATCAAAACCCTGGGAAATAATTGTCAGATGTTGGAATGCCATACCTCGCCGAATTCGTTATGAAATTTCCAATCGAGTGGCATTCACAGCTAAAAATTTCATTTTGGTCGGTTTTTCGCCAAAATTGACAATATAACCCCTTATGAAAAAAGCCGAAATCCGGAGATCCGGAAAAACGAACTTCTATTTCGGATTTTTGATCAAAACCCTGGGAAATAATTGTCACACGTTGGAATGCCATACCTCGCTGAATTCGTTATGAAATTTCCAATCGAGTGGCATTCACAGCTAAAAAATTTCATTTTGGTCGGTTTTTCGCCAAAATTGACAATGTAACCCCTTATGAAAAATGCCGAAATCCGGAGATCCGGAAAAACTGACTTCTATTTCGGTTTTTTGATCAAAATCGTGGGAAATAATTGTCAGATGTTCGAATGCCATACCTCGTTGAATTCGTTATGAAATTTCCAATCGAGTGGCATTCACAGCTAAAAAATTTCATTTTGGTCGGTTTTTCGCCAAAATTGACAATGTAACCCCTTATGAAAAAAGCCGAAATCCGGAGATCCGGAAAAACGGACTTCTATTTCGGTTTTTTGATCAAAACCCTGGGAAATAATTGTCAGATGTTGGAATGCCATACCTCGCCGAATTCGTTATGAAATTTCCAATCGAGTGGCATTCACAGCTAAAAAATTTCATTTTGGTCGGTTTTTCGCCAAAATTGACAATATAACCCCTTATGAAAAAAGCCGAAATCCGGAGATCCGGAAAAACGAACTTCTATTTCGGATTTTTGATCAAAACCCTGGGAAATAATTGTCACACGTTGGAATGCCATACCTCGCTGAATTCGTTATGAAATTTCCAATCGAGTGGCATTCACAGCTAAAAAATTTCATTTTGGTCGGTTTTTCGCCAAAATTGACAATGTAACCCCTTATGAAAAATGCCGAAATCCGGAGATCCGGAAAAACTGACTTCTATTTCGGTTTTTTGATCAAAATCGTGGGAAATAATTGTCAGATGTTCGAATGCCATACCTCGCTGAATTCGTTATGAAATTTCCAATCGAGTGGCATTCACAGCTAAAAAATTTCATTTTGGTCGGTTTTTCGCCAAAATTGACAATGTAACCCCTTATGAAAAAAGCCGAAATCCGGATATCCGGAAAAACGGACTTCTATTTCGGTTTTTTGATCAAAATCCTGGGAAATAATTGTCAGATGTTGGAATGCCATACCTCGCTGAATTCGTTTTAAAATTTCCAATCGAGTGGCATTCACAGCTAAAAAATTTCAAATCAGTCGATTTTTGGCCAATGTTCTTGATGTAACCCCTTATAAAAAATGCCAATATCAGGAGGATCCGGAAATATCAACTTTTATTTCGGTCTTTTAACGTCATTCGTTAGCACAGTTATATTAGTAGCTTATTCATTGGTCTTATTAGATTGTTATAGGTAAGAAAATTTATACCCACAACATTAAGTAAATATTTAGAATAAGATTATCCTAAGAATTAATGTATATTTAGCTTTAGATTATCCTAGATTTATTATACATAATTAATATATTATAATGTTTAAAATAAAATATAAATTATTTTAAAATGTGTTTTTATAGTTTATTGAGTTTTAATTTTAGGACTTACAGGTTGTCGACATATTGTGAAAATTGACAAGAAACCCGTAAGGCAAAGGAAAACCCTATAGTTGGAGAAACTGAAACAAATGCTATTCAATCGATTTTTCTAAGGGTTTTAGCAGTAACAATTTCTATTTTGTAGTATACTTTTAGGGCGCCGTGGGTTTTTAATTGGTGCAAAAGTGCTGCATACGTAAAAAACGTAAAAAATCGCATGCGATATTTTTAATTGAATTGTTCTCATTTCTTTATTTATTTCTATTTACGCCAATTTATAAATTTCCTTATCTAGCTCCTTACAAATGAAGTTTGTATGCCGTCTAAGTATATATTATTTTTTGCCCTCTTTGGCTGAGCAGTTCTGTCTTTGAAATTGACTGGTGCCAACACTGTTCTATATCTCAGCCCTATCGACAACTGTTCATATCATGCTTATGAAATTATTGCGATTGAATAGCTACAAGCTACACCTATGGATGGATGGATTGGCATCGAAGTCCTGGCCTCCCGAGAGTCCGTGCGACTTTACCGAGCTATTAGCTGGGTTTTTGCTTCGCCCATTGCTCATAATGCACTTTGCATGTAAAATATTTAATTAAATGAAAAATAGCAAAGCCCAGAGGAGGAGCGTCCCCTTGGTTACCGTGGCATCGGTATCCTTACATGCTCGCATCCTGACGAGGGCCGCAAAAAAAGTTTATTTGTTTCGTGGCTGCCTCAGTCAGTCTTCATTTATTGTAAATGAGTTTGCCGGGTCAGGATGCGGGGCTTCGGGGGCGAAAAAGGATGCATATATGCATGCGGTCCAAAGGATGCATATTGAATAAGACTGCTCCGCACGCAAATGGCATTCCAATTCAATTCCGATTCCCAATGCAAATAATTTGCAGCTGAATGCTATTAATGACGGGATGCTGGGTGGCGAAATGGAGACTATGGCGAATATGTTAATAACATTCCATTTACTGAACACTTTGCTTTTAAATGGATGCAAATGAAATGAGGTTTTGGGCCTCGGATGAGGCATATTCGCAATATACGTCATTTTTTTTTAGTCACTGGGGGTCTGGAGCACCATGATGAAGTAATCCTCCTGCGGGCACAGCATCACCTCGTGCAGTTCAGTCCGCAGCCGCAGGAAGGTGAATTCGTTGGTGGCGTCCAGATCCAGGACCACCTGGCGGGCCTTCTCCCTCAGCGTTTGCATCAGGGCAGCGTAGTGCAGGGTCAAGTTGTAGTCCAGGGTCGTCTTGATCGCAATCCCATCGTTATCAATCACCACAATCCCAGTGATGTTCTTCATGGACTGGAAGCGCTTCAGCAGCTCCTCCACTTCGGCCGACATATTTTTGCTTTATTTTTTGAAGATTTTTCAGTGTAGAATTGTATTTGCGAAGAATTTGCTAAACGAATAATAACAATAAATGAACGCAATTTCAAGGCATACTCTAAAATTGTTCATGCTCTACACTTGGAGAAACTAAAGTTAGTTGGGATCTAATGTTGAACATTAAGTTTCCTAAGAAATCAAATATTAACACTACAAATTTTAAAATATCAAACAAAAATAATCGAAATAGCTAAATATTTTATTAGCCCTTGTTAAACCTATCCCTCATTTTCCGCTGTGTAATGTCAAGGGGATTTTGTCATATGACTGGTTCATTTCATCTGCCAGTTTAACGAGCCGATGCAAGTTTTATGATGTTCGGCTTAATCCGGCAGCTTCTGGTGCTGTTGTGTCCGTAAATAAGCATTCAAGTTGGCAACAATTCCGAATGTCGGACTGCAAAAGTTTCGCTTTTGTGGATGGCAGAAGTACGAAAAATTAATTGAATGCTGTTGATGCTGCCAATGCCCCTTCCTTGGTCGTTCTACTGGTTCTGGTCCTGGTCCTGGTCCTGGTCCACTCGAAATGCAGATGAAATGTTTGCATCAAGTTCGAGGCGGTGCGGAAATTATGCCACTCTTCCGGCTCGACCAGACTCCGCAGACAAAAGCCGGACTACAGACTACGGACTACGGACTGCGGACTCCGGCCAGAGTTGTTATGAAAAGAGTGTAAAATTGTTCACTTTTTAAATTAATTAAAAGTCTTAAAACTCATAATGAAATTACTCAAACGAGCAGACAGCCGGACAGGATGGTCGTAAAAAGGATTCGGGCAGTGCATATGCAAATTCCTGGCCAGACTTGAGGGAAATTAAACTTCTTGCTTGACTTCTGGCGGGCAAGGAAATACATTTGGTAATTAAATCAATGTCCATGTGAAAAACCTCAAATGCAATTTGTCATGCAATGCCGGAGAAGTCAAAATGTGGAAAATACTCTCTAACTTCGTTAAATGGGGATGGAAATGGGCTTGCATTTTATTGCATATTTGTTGAATAAATAGCTCGTTTTGTGCGCTGAGCAAACAGCAAAATAAAAACAAACGAATCGAAACGCAACAGGAGGGAGAAATAGAGTCCGAGTCCTTGATCCTGTTTTGATGTTGATGCTCGCTCACGAAACTGAAATATTTACAAATGTTTTGCCAATTTATGCAAGCTGCAAACATTTACTAGTTACAAAGTCAGGGTAAAACAAAAATATGTTTACTACCTACTAGAATGGGATGCAATTTGCGAACTCCAATGGCGATTGGAGTACTTGTTTAAAGAGAAATATGCAGAAATGTAATTTGATATTTATGAAAACAAATTTGTCTTGCACTTTTTTTAATCATTTTAGTTTGTTATATATGCATAGAATTCGGACTGGCAATGTCACAAATCACATTTAATTGGTTCTGCCTTTCGGACTTTGAACTTTAAAATGGTATTATTTCAGCTGCCTTAAATTTCCCTTTAAGCTGACTGACATTTATGCGATTTAACTCCGGGCAATAATATTTTACTCGTTTAATGAATCTGTAATTAATGGCAAATTAATTGATTTTTTTAATAAATTTGACTGGTCAATTTTTATCATTCATCTGTCGGATTTCCTCTGTTTTGTCACCTTTCGTTTCCCGCACTGCATTTGCATAACGCTATTTATTAAAGAATAATTTATTAATCAACGAATCATTGGCCATATTTGAACATTTCTGCAAATGTCAAACAATGCCACAAGGTGATAATGAGATCAACAGACCCGACCATCCTGAGCAGCCCAATTTAAAGTGGCAAATTCGAGTAAGTGAATTATGAGCCAGGAGAAGATAATGAGAATCGGATTTCATTTGCAATTAGCAACGAGCACACGCATACATTACATCGTAACCAGATTCATACTCTCAATGTTGGTTAATTTCGTTCTGGCCAAAATTTTAATTATGATTGAGCATTTCTGCTGCTGTGTACGTGCAAGCTTTGTTCTTAATCGAATTTTAATTAAATACCGTGTGTGACTGAAAATTCTCGACTGTAGAACGTTTTAAAGGGCACTGTAATTATGTGTAGAGGGGGGAATTCAGATAAATTAACTCTTATTTATGCATTATTTTCTTTCTATTTATTCAGAAATATCTAAGAAAGACTATGGAGTTTTGATTGCATTTAGGCATTTGCCTATATGTTTACATTAGTTATTAGTTTTATGTACAGATTACTGATACCTTAAAAATTATTCTTAAAAAAACAGATTTATATCTTTCACTTAATCGATTAAGCCTTTATTTCTAACAAAAATAAAATACATTTATTTTCATATAATTTGCAAATTATTTCCACTGAGAAAGGTTGATCACTAAAGTCCCACTAGGGCTTTGAAATAAATCGCAGTGAGTATTCCCAAATATAGCGTCAATCGCACCTGAAGTGTCAGATGGGATAAAACCTGACAGAAATCCACGAAAATCGCTTACTGCCTCCGCCTGCAATGCAACCTGATTTGGAGCGCCTTAGGGTCCCTAAATAAAATACTCCGATACTGGGGACCTGGTAAAGTGTGACACTTTTTCATTTGACGCTCGCTTGCGTTCACAATGTCATAAGCAACGATGCCGGGGGATACAATTTTAAATTAAATATTATAGCGTGGGCCTGTGAAAGCAGCCTCTGGGCCAGATAAATGCGTAAGCAGGATACCCCACTGTGTTCAAGGATGCCTTTCGCCAGTTTGCGTGGGGTGTGAATCCGTTTGTCTGCACCTGACGCCTTCTTGTTGTGCTTTTTAGTATTTTATTACATTTCTTTTGTATGGGTGAGTGTATATTTTTGGATGAGCCAGCTTTTGGCCTTTGAACCTATCTAATCTTGGTGAATAAAATACACATTTTGGTAGAGTAAAATCCATGGGTTGGCCTTGTGAATCGTAAATTATAATTCTTTTGTATAAAGAGCTTTAACAAGTATGCAAATACATATTTTTGTCTTTTTTATAATCAATACAATCTAGCATTTAGTAGTTATTACTTTACAATTTATTGCATTTATTTGTATATTTATCTTTTAGTTAAAAAGGAATATAGATTTTTGACTTTAGATGGTTTGTTTAGTGAAAAGCTTAAAATTTATTTACATCTTCTATATTATTTGAATATTCATCGCCATCAAATATTTTTTTGCCGTCTTTCTACTACTCAATTATGTATTACCCATTTTTGACGATTACAATCCGCTTGCCTTTTAGTTCTCCTTGCTCCACTTTAATGCCTGGCAGACCCACAGCTTTTGCTTATCAGAGTAAAAAACTTCTATCATATTTAACGGAAAAAGGTCAACAAAGAATAAAATAGCTGAAAAGGAAAAACCTTGACATCACCTTTTTCAATCAACTAAAAAGTGTCTTGTTTCGCCACCCACCGCCACCGCCATCACCACCCACTTTCTCCTTTCTCCGCGGCACCACTGACTCAATAAGCCGGCATTTTATTTGCATTTTTTTCGTCACTTGCCCGCCGTCTGTCCCAAAGGCTGTCTGTCGTCATTTCTGCCGCTTCGCTGGCTGCCAGCCGAGTTTTTCACTTTGTGCCCCCAATGTTTCTCCAGGAGAAAGGGGGAGTGGCACAGTGGGCGGTGGGCGTTGGGTGGAGATGGGAGGCTGGAGCCATCGGCGGCAGCAAATTCATCATCGTCTCAGCACGCGTCTGTCAGGCGCGCTAAGGATACAATAAATGTCTTTCGCGGTCGCCCATCTCACATACAGTGTGTCCTTTCCCAAAGTGTACTGATGGCCTTGCTTACACAGGAAAAAAATAATATTTCCAAACTAACCTTTGCTCAAATGGGAATTGAAATGCATTGAAAATCAATAAGAATCTCTAAAAATATAATTTTTTGCAGGCAGTCTGTAAAATGTCAATAATTAAATAGAAAAAAATCTAATAAATGAAAAATAAAATTTTCGGGTGAAAGAAATGGTCAAAATTAAAGATTAGACCATTTTTTTGGATCTCCCCATCGGTTTGTTTTTATCAAGGACACCCTGTACGGGTGTGTGAGTTTGAGGCTGAGTGAAATACTCTGTCGGATTAATATGCAGTAGCGCTTTGCATTTTTTTGTAGCTCTCTTTGGTTTGTATCGTCATTTTCCGTTGCTGTTGGTTTATTCATTTGCCTTTGCCTGTTTTTCCTTTCCTTTTTATACATATATTTCTTTTTTTTTGATTTTGCCTCTTAGCCCTGAGGCTCAGGTGCACTTTGGGGATAACAAATTAAACAACTTTATGCAAGTGGAGCTGAATAAATTGCACCGGCTACCGCAATATGGATTCACTTGATATAAGTAGTATTTTCCAGCTTGTGTTTTATTATTGGTATTAATGAAACTAGTTTGCAGGGAGTCTAAATTTCCTTTAATAGGGTTTTCAACCGAAACCCGAATGGAATTATAAATAAGAAAACCATTGAGAATATTTATCGTCAGTGACAAAAATAAATTCAAAGAAATTATTTTATGTTGGCAATGTTTTGCCTAGAAAAGTTCTCAATATCTGTATTTATATATCCTTGACTTTCTTGCTGCCTTTGCCGTAAACTTCACCATATTGGGGGTATTCGGATTTGCTGATGTTCCGCAGCTCAAAGAAGGCCTGCTTGGCCAGCCAGTGGATGACGGGGCTCTTCCACTCCTTGAGGATCAGCTTGTACTTCTTATCGGCGGTGTCCTCGGACTTCATAACCTGGCTGTAGTTATACCACAAGTAGATCATGCACCGCAACTTGTAGATCCACAAGTGATTGGGAACAGAACGAATAATGTCCTGCAGCTGAGCCATTGACTCCATGGCCAGGTTCCCGAGGACAGTATGGTCCATCAGGCAATACACCATTTTCATGTTGTCCAAGTAATTATTTCGATTCTTGGTCAGAGCCACCGTAGTCCTCTTTATCAACTCCGCCGCATTAGACACCCCTCCCAACGGCATAAAGTTATACTTCACATTGAAGCAATCGAACTTGTTCAACTGCTCGTAAATATCCACGTCGATATTCCTGAAATCCTTCCACCAATTGCACCAGGTACGATAGTTTCTGCCCCGATAAATCTTGGTCCACTCAAGGGCGATACTCTCCCGAAAACGGCTGTATGCCAAACCGGCAGTATCTTCATCATCAATGGCATCGCCCATCTCGTCGTAGATGTGCTGGATGCAAGGCACTTCCTTCGATTTATGTAAGCGGATGATATAGTCGGGAGACCTCCTGAAGAACAGCACGGCGTAGGACCTCGATTCCTTGTGTGAAAACGTACCGACCTCTTTGGTTACGAAGGGCATCTTCAAGCCGGCAATCGTGAAGACTTTATCTTTTAACTCATAGCCACTGGAAATGGGCTCAGGTCTACGCTTAACTATCGGCTGTTCATCGTTTTCAAAATTTTCATTGGGAAACTCACGACGATTATTGAATCTAGAATATGTTTCTGTGAAATTCGATTTCAAGTGACTAAATTCATTCGAATTGAAACCCTCATCGCGTTGCATGTCCATGCGATGTTGATTACCCATCAAAGGTTCGTTGTTAAAATGCGGTTGCTGTACGTTTCGAAAACCCATTGGCTGCTGATTGCCTTGAAAATATTGTTGAAAATTGTCATTTGGAATAAAACGCTCTGGATCACGACCTCCGGGTATCCCCTCTGCATAATCGTTTTGAGTAAACTTATCAGACTCCTCGAAGTTTCTAAAGCCCATCATGTTGGGGGACACATTGCGATGATACATGCCAACTGGAGATCGAGTGCGTCTGGGACTGGAGGAATTCCAATCCAGATTCTCCGGTGGCGGCGGAGCTGTCCGATTTAAATTCAATTGTCCTCCAGAATCGTTTTCGTTCCAGCCGTGCGAATCAATCCTCTCGCAATACATATTACCCATGGGACGTCCGATCACATTATCAGTATTACGGGTATTCATATCGATATTATCAAGAAAATTGCGCTGCTTTATTTTATCTATGGCAACACTAGACAAAGGTCTGGGTCCACTTATAGTCATCCTCTGCGTAATAGAAATATTAATAAATATATTTCAGAATTTTACTCTTGATAACTTACACGTTTCATTATGGGCCTATTCCTTTGCGAAACCTGACGAGAGAGCATTTTGCAAGGTATTTAAATTAATTAAAATAAAATTATATTTTTTGGGAAATCCAAAAGCATCCAAACGCTATGAAAGTGAACGGGCGAATGATGATTGCTAATAAATTGTTGGCAATCTACAAAATCATAGCTTGCTCTGTTCAAAAATTTACAATTAATAATTTACAATATAATGAATAATAATTTTATTTTAATTAAATATTAAATATTTTGTAAATGAAATTCATTAAAAAGGGCTTAAAAGGGTTTCAATATTTCAAAACATTTTATAGTTTTTATAGTATTTCGGTAAATTATTTTGTTATTTTTGACACTGTATGTTGAAAGTGGAAAGTTACATACATAAGTTGGCCAAGCTTATAGATTCACATCTAGCTAGAATCGATAATGTCATAACCACTTTGCACTTAACAAACAAAGTTGTAAGGAAAATTATCGGTTTTTTTGTAAATTTTTATGTTTTTTTTGTACGAAAATAATGGAACCCACTTATATCATTGCGCTGCTTATTTCAATATTTTGCCATTGCATAGGCCTCTTTTACAATCCCGTGGAAGCCAGCACGGAATCAACTGTATTTTTAATTGTCGCCATAATGTTCCTGCATAAATTGAAGTTGGAGTACGACCCAAATTTCGTTCAAAGCCATGTGGGTAAAGCTCTTGAGGTTGTGGTCCTTTGTCTGGCGATACAGGTACTTTTGGTCGCCTTGTGGTTCCCCGTCTTTCAAACTCTGAAATTCATCGTGGATGCAATTTGCTGGAAACTGCTACATTCAGTGAGCAACGAACAAGCCTGGATTGTGGAAAAACTGAATAATTCGGCGGTGACAGTGGTTCTACTGGCCATGGAATCGACGGTGCTGCTCAAGGGTTTCGAGATCGCCGATGTGCAGAAGTTGTTCGGCTCCAAGGACGATTGCCTTTCAGACAGTGTCCTGTCATTTGTGGCCAAAGAGGAAAAGAAGGCTTTTCGTCGGGAAAAGAGAAGGTTGGAAAACCAGCGATTACTTCGAAAAGCCAGAGCATAAAATGATGATGACATAGCACAACCAATATGATCGGGACAAAGATAATAAATATGTTTCAGTAAGGCTAGTAAAATAAATTACTCCAAATAAAATTTACTTATGGAAGGCAATTACTTTTTCAATTTATTTTTCCTATTTAAGAGTTGCTTCTTTTAAATTTCAAACCTTGCAAAAACATGACAAATTGACAAGCCGGAAACGTATTTCTTCCCATTTTTAAGTTTCCATCGAAAACTTTGCGTTCTCCTTTAAGAAACAGCAACGACAATATGCAGCAAGCCTTGCTCCATTGGACGTGATAAACTTTCGGTAATAATTTATTGCAATCACTCAACTCAACGGCCACGTCAATGCCCACGGCAAAAAAAGTACAAGTGGAAAATGCAAAAAAAAATATATATATGTGAAGCTGTGAGAGGACTGGGCAATATTTTAAATTGCATCCCGACGGATGATAAAAAGAGAGCACAGCAGAATGAAAACATTCGAATAAAATGTGCCGCACATTCGACACACGTCGCGACAACTCGAATGTGCAAAAAATTGAAATAAATAAGATATAAAATGGTGGCACACAAACGCACATCGCGATTGGGGGACCAACAATTTATGCATCACAGATACATATGGGCAAACATATATATATTTACGACTCCCCGTTCGATGCGATAAGTGTGTTTATTTGAGCTTGCCCAATGCAATATTTACAATGCAGCAACACCAATCTTGGGGCATCTCCTGCGGCGCACACGGCGTATGTGGAATGTCGAGCATGGAGCATTCGGCGGATATGGCGGATGCCTGTTTGCTGACTCGGCGACACTTGGCCACGCCCCTTCGCCCCGTTGTCTATGGGCGCAATTAAAGCAAACAGCCAGGGGAAACTAATCTCGAGCGGCTCGTAAATTCCGAGCGGGCATTCCTGTGGGACACCCGAAGGATGTCAAGGATACCCTGCCCCCTCCTCATCCGGCAATTGAAGCTCGCTCTGCACGAAATCTGCGACGCCGGCGGAATGACTAAGCTGCCTTTCTAATTCCGCCTCGGTTTGTTTACGCTGCCTGGGAATCTGGGAGGATATTCGTTCTGCTCCTCCTTCTCCGCCGGAAAAGAAGTGGCCATCGCATGTGGAACCTGGTTCCACGGCTGCTGGAGCACCAGATGCTGCGCACATGAGGTCGGGAGTGGAATGCCGAGTCAAGCCGAGGGATCATTTGCATATTAATTAAATGTCAAAAGGGTAGCGGCAGCAAACAGTTTGTGCTCGCTTCCAATTAAATCAACTTGCGATGCGGACGAGAATGTGGGTATAGCTCAATCAAGGTCAACTGAAGGAACGAAAGTGGCTCACAAATTTAAATAATAGGAGGCATTCTGCGGGCATGTAAGCAATCCGTAAAAATCGTTTATTAATAATTACGATAGCAGCTTTTAGTTTACTTCAAAAGATTCAGCATCCATTTCACAGCCTTTCCCTCTCAAAAAGTCGATTGGCTATCAAGTACCTAATCCATTGAGACCACAAATTGACTTTCCTACATCCATTCAACTTCAGCAAAATTGCAGTATTCTTAGCCAGAAATTGGCATCTGTGCATAGTAAAGCCCCATCCCCGAACCTTTGGCCATTTTCAGGTCGTCTTCTCGACTTGAAATGAAAATTCCATAACCCGCTTATGACGCACTGCTGCCGAGGAGAGCACATAAAGTAGGCGGCTGTGGGATGAGATAGGGATTCGGCCTGACAACCTCAAGTGACATTTTGCGTCAATGGCCAAATTGGTTTCACTTTTCTTGTGCTGCTAGCCAAAAACTTGTATGGCTGAGTCTAATTGGCACATTCACACGAAACAATTGAGGGTCAGGCGGAAAGGAAAACTTGGCTACAAATGCTACTTCTAAAATTCCCAGTACCACGAGAGCGAATTTTTCCAAAAACAATTCATTTGAAATGTTTTAGTAACTACAAAATTAGCATTCACCTTGGTTTCTGAACAAATTGGCTTACAACAAAAGTTCTTACAACGTGTGGTGAAATCAAAAGTGTAGTAATCGTTTTCACAATTGAGTTCTGATTTCCTCTTAGATGTCTGATTTCAGTTAATGGATATTCATCGGTTAAGCTCCAACTAATCACTATCCAAGCAGGGCTCTCCGCAAGTCCCCGACATGTCAATTAAGTGATGAAAATTCCTTATATACCCACAACGCACTGGGTTTTGGATTTTCCCACTTTCCCAACCGCTGGCAAGTGTCTCCCGTTTCTGGTAATTTGCCAGGCCAAATGTCTGCTAGAGTCAAAAGCCAAACTTGGCAACCGCAGAAGCAGCAACTCGAGGAGCAGGATGTCAAAACATATAGACGTTGTGAAGTGGATACATCACGGAGCTCCGGCAACAGTTGAAAAGGGTTGAGGTTGAGAGAGTGACTCATGGGAGTTTGCCAAATCCTAGCCTGCATTCCACATGCTGCGGCTCAAAAGATATGCAAATCTTTGGCGTTGGTGGAAATGTCAAGCGAATTCGGCTGCAGGAAATTAGCACGCAAATTACAACAAAACCGACTTCAAGTGTGGTGTAGATATTTTGGGAGTACTGTAGTAAACATTTTCACTCGTCTAAATGTTTAATGCTTGACAACATTTAAAATATATTTAAATATATTTAATTTGGTACAAAACAAGTTCATAAAAACATTACTTATTTGTATTAACTTGCGGTAACATTGATGTTTTCAAAATAATATTTTTACGCTTTTAAAAATATAAATAAAATATATTTAAGGTAGACTTCTACCTCAAACTCAAATATCAAAATTTTTATTTTAAAAAATCTCAGATGAATGGATCATGAAAGTCGTACTTTCTTTTGTTCAGTGCACAACTTAGCATTTTAATAAATCCACTAGCGATTCCTGAATAGCTTTAAGTGTGTGTTAGTATTTCCAATGGGTTTCCCACTTCCAGACTGTAATTTCTCTGTCAGTCAGCAAATCCAGTTACTCAGCTTGATCGGCATTTCACACTTCAACGCGTTCTCGCAGAAATTCCTTGGTATTTTATTGTTCCCTTAAAACGATTTTCTTTCGCCAGTCGAGCGCAAATAAGTCAAACGAAGTGACCTTTGGACTGAAGTTGAATAAATCGCATGATGGCAATGGCCAAAAGGCTTTTACCAATTGTGCGCTTTCAGCAGCTGCAAATTTTCAATTTATCCATTCAACCCACAAAAGTATGCTAAACACGTGGCAAACCGTTTTTGTGGAAAATCAAATTATCAGCAAATTTATTTAATGTATAACATTGGGGATGACCAGGCCACAAAAAAATAAATGCGCTTTACACACGCAATTAGCAATATTTCGGTGACCAAAAAAGCCATTGAAAATTAATCGAAATCAATGGCAGTTTGTTCGCGGTATTTTCGGTTGATTTTTCTGTGTCACCCAGATAACCGAAAATTGGCGCCGAAAATGCTAAACCGCAGATGCTTTCAGCTTCGCCAAAAACCTACATATATAGTGCAGGTTAACCCACAATAAATGTGTATCAATGAGCCATTATCAGCTAATGGCAAATTCTTTGCATAATTCAAACTAAACAATTTTGACTTTGGCAAAATATGAGCCAACCTGGGGATAAATTGACGATTCAATTTAACACACAAACGACTTTGGGCTACCAAATATGCAAGAACTCAGGGCGCAAGCACACTTAATTTAGCATAAAAGCCAAGTTTAGAAGTTTCTGGGAGCCACATTTTGTTTGCCTTTTACCCCTCGAAATGAAGCTAGCTCAAGTTGATGAACTGTAAATGAACTTTGTGTTTGAATTCGATTTAGTTTCATTGCAACATGCTTGAACAGCACTCCATCTAAACATTTTCCCAAGGACTACTCGGACATGAGTTTGTCTGCAAGGCAGCCGAATGCCTGCATCTGCCTGTTGGCTTGCGGAATCGAAAGTTGTGGCATTAAATAGCAGCAGCTGCAATTTGTGGCCCATGATACTGCCAGAGTACACATTACATCGGTGTGGGAATGTAATATCGGTTGGTTCGGCGCATCCGTTCAACCATGTAAGGAACATTTTCCTCAAGAAAACTGATTGAAATCTAGGACAGCAAAAAGTTTGAATTCAAAATAGTATGACGTACTTTATTTTTAATATTTCTTAGTAGAACACATTTTAACAAGCCCCGATATCAAGGCAGGATAATATGTTTTTAAGCCAGTGGTCAAAAAACTGCAACGCTGCGTATGCGTGATAATAAGCAATAAAGTCCTCAGTTAAAATCACAAAGCACAAACCAACTGTCATAGCCCGCCATCGTTTGATAATTAAACGACACACATCACTTTTAGTTATGTGTTTTTATAAAAATGTTCCACTTAATTTGCATGACAATCCCACAGATTTTCACACAACCGACAAACGAAGACAGATGAGTTGACAATTAATCCAGCAATCAAGCATTTTCCGTTCACCTACAAATATGTATATAAAAAAATAAAACAAAAGATAAGCTTCAAGAGAACTTAGCTGTGATTTCAATTGTGATGTTATTTTTAAATTTCATAAGAAATAAAACAACAAAATAAATAAAAAAATAAATATATGTTTATCACGATTTGAATTCTTATCGCTTAATTCGCTAGAGACTTCAAGCTGATAAAGCAGAAACGATTGTGGAAATGTTAAGGTCGGGCAAAGTTTTCTTATCTTAATCAGATTTTTAAAGCTTTTCATCAGCAAATTAACAAGGTTTTTGCGAAAAGCGTGTCAAACCATTTGTTTAAATACCGCCACCACCATTTCCAACCACGATTAGTATTTGTGAATGAAATCAGTTGTTATCTCTGTTCGTTTACGTTACGCTTAGTTGGTCTTATCAAAATCAAAGCAAATCGTCGACAGAAAGTAAATATTTGCACGTCACTCGGCATTGAGTGGGCACTTGACAGGGCTTTGTATTGAAGCTTATCGCGAAGAGTATTTGCATACTTTATAATCCCCTCGATTCTGCAATGGGAGCTCCCCGAAATTCAGTTCGCTTGCTGCATAAATCACAAAGAAAATGCATTTATCTTGGGCAACTGATGCATTGGTTGTTATTAATACATCCTATTGATAAATACCCCACTACTAAATTAAAAGTGTCAACGGAGGAACCTTCGATTCCCACAGCTTTGTTCCATTCTCCCTGCTGGATTTTCGACAACAAAGCATTTGACATTAGCTGAGATTTTCAATGCTTTTACCCCATTTTCCCCCATTTTCCACGGCGTTGAAAACGTGTCAAATGGAGCAAGAAAAACGGCGACGCGATGGGTGTGGGGCAATAAGAAGTAGATTGGTTTGGTGCAGCCATAGAAAGGCATCTACATCATCGCCCTGACGCCGGGTCTAAACTGTTTGCCAGCTTGCAGCTCGGCACTTGGTCAAACTCTCGGGTACAAAGTTCGCCAAATCGTAAAATGCCAAGCGAAATGCATAGGAAAATGCATTTTAAATGCCGCTCAAGGTCTTTCTTTTTCCGATTTGATTCTACCCGTTTGCACGTTTTGTGTCACGCACTTATGCTGAAAGTCTATTTATACATTTTAATTAGATAACAACCATAACCCAGACAAACTGAGCCCTCGCATGGCGCCAGTTTATAAAATCGATTCTGCGGGGGCTTGACTCGTGTGAATTTTGGTTCTTATAGGCGTAAACCGAAATACCACCCAGTCACACCCACTGCGATCGTCGTATTAATACCTTGAGAGCAAGGTAGTTAGTTTCGAAATTATTTTTGACTCATGGAAATTGTTACGCAAAAAAGTACAGACAGAAAATACCGCCCAGTCAGTCACACCCAATACGATCCAAATTGCCTTGAGAGTAATGTACTTAATTTCGCAAACCAAACAGCCCCACTTTTATAAGCCATTATGACTCAAGCAGATCGAAATGGATACGGCTTTTATACTAGTCATTATCTCTCGGGAAATGTCAACAGAAGAACTGTCATTCAATAACGTGCCGGAATGTATCAAATAAAATGTGTGCTTTTTTTATTTGTTTAATACCACTCAAACTAATTAATGAAAAAAATAAAAAAAATTATTTGTGACGTGAAAATGCACTTGGAAAAAATTTGGTAGTAAATGTTGATTTGTGATGGAAATTTAAATTTAAAATTAATTTAAGAAATATACAAAAATTGGTCTCCAACGAAATAATGAATTAACAAGTTATGTGTTTACTTCGTTTTTTAAATAAATGAAGATATTACATTTTAATGTTTAAGACTATAATAACTAAAGGCAAGAATGACATGCTCCGCTTTTTCGATGTGTATCAATTACCAAGTTTAAACCCGTTCATTATCATTTTGAGCAGTTGAGTCAATGACGGTGTCAAGTCAGCCCGTGTCATTTCCTCCAGGAGCCGGCTCAACCGTAGAATTCAATAATGACACCCGATCCGGCTCACCGGCGAGTAAACAACGGCATTAGGAAGTGGGTGGCTGGTGGCAGGTGGCAAAACTTTGGGCCGAGGACGGGGAAAACTTATTTGCTTCGAAATTACGTGTCGCCAAAGTTGGCCAAGGCGACATTATACAATTTATATGCACGTATTGCGCTCTATCCAAGATGAAATGTCGACTCTGATGCTGAGACTGGGGCCGTGGCTGCTCATCAACGTCATCAACGAGAATGTAATTACATTTTCCCGATTCATGACAGTTTTGCATAACCAAGAGTCCTGTTCATGTCCTCATCCACGTCGCCATTTCCTGTAACTTCCCCCGTCTGGGATATTGCGTTCATTAATGAGGCAGGCGCGAGTGGCAGCCACAAAAGCCGAGCCAGGAATATGGAATCTGGACGAGGCAGCCGTCTCCAGGGTCCTTACTGAGTCACGATAAGCCGTCAAGAAAACTCCATTTAAAATCTATTAAAAAAATCGGATTATAAAGGATAACTATAAGGGAAAGAGGCAGCTCGTAAATGTGACTCACTACTAATTTAAATGTATCTCATTATTTGTTTTGGACTAATACAGTTTTGTGACTATTAAATGACGCACATCACTTTATCAGTTTTCATCAATTTGTTCACTTTAGTTGCAAGAAAGTCCCACAGGTTTTTATACATCCGCCAAACGAAGACAGATGAGCTGGCAATTAATCCAGCAATTGAGGATAAATTTTGCTTCCACCACCAAATATTAGCAATCTTTATATATACACCCATTTAATACGAATAAAACTTATCAGTCAAATGCAGACCAAGCTCCATCCGCATCAACTTCACTTTTTATTTACATTTCCATTAAGTCAACACGAAGAAAAAAGAGATGCGGGAAAAAGGACGAAAGCCCTGCTTCAGCAGAAAAAAAACGAGGTGGAAAATTTACTGAAACAAAGTCAACACGAATTTGCAATTTGGTATAAAATTTCCACTGCGACCGCTGCACAAATTGCTAATTCGCTAAAAACTTCAAGTTGACATAAGAAATTTGTGTGAATACATTTTTTATGCGCCTCCTTTGCACAGGACACGGCGTTGAAACTGAAGCGGAAAGGACGAAAGAGAGCATGATTCAAATACAACGAGATAGCAAGTGCAAAGTAAACGGCTCGAGAAACTCAAGTGTGCCTGAATTTGTACTACTAATTTAAAGTCTTCGATACAAATATACAAATATAATAAATTATACTTATATTTAAAGCACCGCAATAGCAATTTACTATCCATAAAGTATTAATATGGCAATTATTTTAGCAAAGACTGGATTTCACACTATATTTTATTGCTACTTATGCAAAGTGATAAGATATGTGACAAAACAATGTGCAAATGTTAAGGTAAGGCAAGGTCTTCTTATCAATATGTGTATAATTAGTTGTTTATATATATGTTGTATCTGATATGTAACTTCTATTTACGACATTTTCCACAAGTAATTGTAGTTAGATTGGAAACTATTTTGATAACAAATTTCTTGTGCACCACAGCCTCAATCACCCCCATAAAATGTAAATAAATAATTGTTTCAATACGCTATTGCCGGTACGTCATGCCCGAAGATTAGTCAGCCTTTGTCGGAACCCCACAATTGCGACTGTTTTCCAAACTCCGTCCAGTTGTTGGGGAGGCAAATGAACTGATAAGGAAATCTGGGCCAGTCGCATAAAAGCCCTCGGAGAGCTTCAGACGACTTTAGTTTCCGCCGACCAGTCCCAACGCTTGGGCTGCAATATTTTAATTAACATCAACATAAAAAGTTGAACGGACGTAACTAACAAGAGACATAAGTGAATTTTAGCCAAGTTGGAAGGAGTTTATATTGAAATTGCAAAATGAGCATTCAACAAGTAATAAAAACTACAAGTTAAATAGGGAATAATTTAAGTTTCTCGCCTTAAAAATTCCACAGTAAAAAATATTTCATTTAAAAAATGTTGCTGTGCTTTTAGATAACAACACCTTATTTAACTATTAATAGAAAATAAAAAGAATAAACAAAAAAATCGAATTGTGTTATTAACTGAGAAATGTGAAGTATTATTAACTTAAAATAATTGTCAATTAAAAATTTCAGTTTGAACAAGATGTTCTTAAAGCCCACAATACATATCGGGCCAAGCATGGTGCTCCACCCTTAACTCTGAGCCCCAAGCTTAATCAATTGGCCACCGAATGGGCCAAGGTATGAGCACTTAAATTCTTCAATGAACAGGAACTCTTCATTTAAAAGATATTTAAATATTACAGTACTTGCTGTCCAGAAATCGAATGGAGCATCGACAGAACAGCGGCTATGGCGAGAATATCTATATGGCCTTCGGAGGAAATTTGGAAGGTGCAGACGCCGTTAGATCTTGGTACGAAGAGATTCGTCTTTACAATTGGAACTATCCTTCATTTCAAAGTAGCACAGGACACTTCACTCAGGTTGTTTGGAAGGGCTCCACTGAGTTGGGCGTAGGTTTTGCCAAAAGGTAAGGCCTCAGCAACACGACGATGCATTTATGCATTTTAATTTAAATTGTTTTTTTAAGGGGAAATACCATATACGTAGTGTGCAACTACAATCCCCCTGGCAACTACAACAACATGTTCAGAGAGAACGTAGCTCCTCCAAGGCAATAGTTATATACTTTTATTAACTAAACACATTCCAAAGATATACAGGAACTTAGAAAACATAAGTAAACCAAACAAACGACTAACAATTCTGAAAGGCTAAAGAATCTAAATAAACTTTTTCCATATCATTCCAAAGAAATAAGCGAGCTTCCAAGCCGAAAATAATATTTTTGAATAGATATTCTTAAAAAAAAGCAATGTTGCCAAAGAAACAAAATACAGGTGAAGAAAATATTTGTATTGAATTTTAAATTCATAAATGTAAAGCTCTTAGAATAGCAAGTGAATTTTTAAAACGTCAAGCATATAATGTTAAAACTTGTTCGAATTTTAAATTCATTACTTTCAAGACATCCAATCGAAATAATAAATACATTCCATTAAATAAGGTGTTTTTAAAACAATAGTAAAATAATATATACAAATAATTAAATATTTTAAAAAGATATACACATAAACATTATTTGACATTTTATTTATCGTCAAGTATTTTTAATTTTACTACAATGAGATTAAGTTTGTCAGTGAATGTGCCACCCCTAATTGTCCTCATCGATTTAATCATTCTTCGATGGTGCAGAGAGTGGGCCGTGGGCGGGATGCAACTCCGGCAATACTGCTGCTTGAGTATCCTTTTTTTGAGAACTTTTTACTGCTGCCAACAGCATCACAGACATCCGAGGAATAGGAACATGAAGGAGCTGCCGATGCTGGCTTACTGAGATTTTTAGGCTGCTGCCGATGGACGTAGATTCCACTTCGGCGGATTTTCCGATACAGTGAGATATACTTTCCCGCCGTCCTCGTCCTTGGAACAATGCACTGCTCACAGAAGGCGGTCTTGCTCCGGGCCGCCTCGCTCAGGTGGGCGTGGCCCAGGGCCTGCAGGAAGGCCAGGACGAAGGCGTAGCAGTTGTGACTCTCCTCCGCGTAGCTGGCGATGGACCACCGAACCGATTGGGCGCAAATCTATTAATGCAAATGGTCGAGGGACCGATGGAGGCTTAGGGATTTGCATTGATTTTAGGCAGGGTGGCTCGATTTGGCCAGCCACTAAAGTCTGATACATTTTTTTAATTTATTCTAATCTGCACTAAGATGAAATAGTCACATAAATTCGCAACTGCTGAGTTTGATCAACTTCTAAATAAAATATATTAAATTAACACCACAGATCTTTGTAACTAATTGGCTTTGAAATCCAACTACAACATCAAGGTTTTAATTTTTTTAACATATCTTTTTTAATAACAAGAGTTTCTTTAAGCACAAAAAATGAGTTGTAAGACCAATTTTATTTTCTAGTTATCCCCAGATTTCATTAACTTTTCTTGTATCAAATCGAGCCACCCTATAGTTTTATGGAGCGGATTCTGCACTCACCTGCTGCAGGACCTCGTCCCAAAAGTCGTGCCACGGCTCCGGCACATCGCCCACCATCAGCGATTGCCGCCACTCCGGCGGATTATCGTCCCGCCGATGGCGGCGCAGGCCGAACCGATCGAACTCCACGATGTCGCCGCCGGATGTGGTCACCGCGATATGCAAATCGGTGGCGTTGTTGTAATCGCTGCGGGAACACAACGCATCAAAAATATATTCCAGCCATAAAAGACACTTCTAGTCGGGGCAAAAAAAAAACATTTCGGGGAAAATTTGCACAAATTTGTTTGGACTGAATATCAGACAGCCAGAATCAGGCTGCGGAATAAATGGAGGGAAGCTGCTCGGAATAGTCTGCTTCAATTGCTTGGCTTCGGTTTATGAAATTTGAATTTTTCTCAATTCATTTAATCTGTACGTGTATGCCTTTTGAATTTAGAGCTTCATTTGCGAGATTTTTTTTTAAGAACTAAAAATTAAAGTGTCGTATAATAAAATAGCAGTCAAAACTCATATATTCTTTTCGTTACTTTGATAAAAGAAGACCATTAAGAACAGAATTGGTTGTTTTTATGATCCTTCTTTTTTTTAATTATATACATATTCAAAAAATTAATTCTTTAAGAGTATATCGTAAATAAAATCGCATGCAATATATCGGTAAAATCTGCAAAACTTCATTACAAAAAGAAAGCCCGTATTAAATTCTTGGTTCAAACATACTTTGAAACTAATAAAAACATTTGTTTGATTTGGTCGTTGATTTGAATGTCCCCAGCTGCAGCAAATATGCTTTTAGCCTGGTCGGGCATTCCATTCTGGCCAATACTCACTTGAGGAAATCGCCGGTGGAGGGACGCAGGACAATGGCGCATGGATACTGTGTGGCCCGCACAAAGGGATATGGCAGGCGAAAGGGCAGGAGGCGTTGCCCACTCGTGTCTAGTTCCGCATTTGGATCCGCATCCGCATTCGTATCCGCATCCCCATCCGCATCCGCGTCCAGTGGGGCATTGCAATGGGGACAAGAGTGCGGCAAAGTGAAGCAGAAAACTTTCACGTTGCAGTGATGAAAACAGAGAATGCCCGGATCCGAGGTAATTGTGGTTGTACTTGTCGTTGCCAACATGGCTCAGTGTGCTGTGTGGTTGCCTGTACAGTTCAAAAAAATATACAAGTATTACTTTCACATCAATAGACTTTAATTCAAAAATAAATTAATTTAAATACGAGATCAACATTCAAATTTAAATTAAGTATAATATAATATAATTGAATTGCGATGCAAATGATTGCTATTTAAATATCTAGCTGTCAAGGGTTTGAAATTCATATCTATTTAAGGTAATTAATACTATTCTACCCAATTATAAAATATACCTTGTAGAAACACAAATTGGAAGGACTCTTTTTCTCACTGTGTTAACTCCTTCTCCTGGATCCTGTTTCCTAGCTCCTGGCTCCAGGCTCCAGGGCTTCCCCTCCTCTAGCCCCCGGTTGTGGATCCTTCGCCTTGTGCCCGTATTATAATTGATACACTTTGTCTACGGTGCCACTTTCCTCGTCCCCGTGGCCTCCTGTCTTTGGTGATTGCGGTTTTCGGCCAGGCCTGAAACGAAACGGAACGAAAAATTCTTGTAAATAAGCCGAAACCAGACGAAGTTGCGACCAAAAGCGGTTTGCCCGGCATATTCAGGCGGTGAACAGTTTCTGTGGTCAGCGGATCGTAAGGGTCCTGCAAAAGGGATACCAGAGCGCTAAGCCAAAAACCGTGCACCATTTTGTAACATTATTTACTGGTACAGGTAGAAGGGTATTTAAAAGCTTTTTGATGTTAGAACTGAAGTTATAGGTAACAAATGATTGGAATTATTAATAATTATCTAAAGTATTTATTTTTACAATTAAAACATTCAAGTTTTAGATTTTTGCTCAAAAGATGCTTTAAAATCATATACCAAAAGATATAATAAATAATAATATTTATATAATTTTTCCAATAAATGTTGCGAAAAATAGTATTTTGCAAATCAATACTCATGCAATAAAACGAAGATTAAAAATTTTTGATTGTCCATTTGATTTTAAAAAGTTTTTTATTATTTATTAAGTTTTCCTTCTTAAATAATAACTAAACCTTTGGTCATCCAATTTTACTTGTACACAAAAACAAAAGTAAACTTGCTTCCAAAATCACTCCCCAAACTCAAAAATGATTACCAACCCTTGTTAGCGTGTCTAGAAAATCTTTACTTACCAAAACCGTAATTGCCGCACCCTCTAACCAAAATATAGCTCCTCAATCAATTAAATTCGTAGAAAAGCCACCCTAAAAAGCCAGTCATATGTTGGCCAAGGAAGAAAGCCGGCATTAAAGAAAGCGGGCCAACACACAGAAACGTAAACAAACCGGCAAATGTGAACTCACCACCTGACCAAAGGAAAAATCGGAAAATTCACCGCCAACAAATGGCCCAAAACAGCTAAGAGAGAGGACTGGCGAAGAGAGCGAGGGAAATTCTGTCTCCGGAGGTGGAAAATGCATAATTCACGACGGAATTTCCCGGCTCGGTTGCGGACTCGGCTTTTCGGGAACGATGGCTCTAAGGAAGCTCGAGGCGAACCAGTTGACGGCGAGCCGTGCGAGCAGACGGTCGTGTTTCAGTCGCAGTCCCTCGAGGAACAGTTCCCGACACCCCACATAAAAACCCATCATTACCAGCGACACAAGTGCAACGGTGTGAAAACCAGGGAAAAACTGTGTGCGATTTCGACGAAAAACGCAGGATATATCGTCGCATTATCCTTGGTAACAAACCTAAACCTAAAACCAAAAAACACAAAAAAATAACCAAAAAAAAAAGACAAATAACGAACGAATTTTGCTTGTTTACAACTTGCGGTCAGGACTTTTACGGATTTTCAGGGGGTTTGTCGTGTTAGTTTGTGTGGTTTTTCCGCCCCTGTTCCTGTGTGTTTGTGTTGTGCTGCTGTAAAGTGGAAGATGCCATGGCAACACATTGCTAATCGATGACGTGACCAAAAACAACAAAAAATAACCAAAGGAAACCAAAAAAAAAAAGGAGACCGCGCCCCCCTCTTCACACTTGGGATAACACAAGGATAATGACCATAAACTGACTTGGTATGTGGCAATCAACATTTTGACAGCGGAGCCCGAAAATTTGGCTAACTGATAAAGTGTTGCGGCTAACGAAATTCATTTTTGATAGCCCGAAAAGGGCCAAATTTAAGCCTCTTAAATGTTTTGGCAACCTCTTTTCTTTTGCGGCTGAAATGCGGCATTCAAGATCGAAAGAGATAGGCCAACACCAAAAGTTGACATTCCGCAAACAAGCAGGAATGGCCGAAAGGATATAATTTATTTTAACTTTTCCTTTTGGCCCGCTCGCACAGCTCTTAACCCAATTAGTGGGCGTGGCACTTGTAGAAAATTAAAATGTTAACTTGGCAAACTTGCCGAAAAACTGAGAGAGAAACTAATCATGAAAACTTTTTGTGACAGATTAAGTGGATAATTTTTGAAATGGGTCACTAAGAGTTAAAAAAATGTTTAAATTAATGCTTAATATAAATTTATTAAATTATGTAGGAGCAAGAACGTTAAGGATTCTGGAACCTTACCTGACATTTATATAACAGATATTCATGCAGTAGAGGGTTAATTACTTTGTTTGCTGCTTTAAGTTTAGAAACTAGTAAAAGAAACTATATTTTAATATGCAGGCATACATTTTCTTCTATAAATATTCAAGGCTCTTTAAAAACTTACAGAAAAACATTTGCGCAACTTCGTTTCCTTGCCAAGTTTCAGCCTCTTTAAAGTTAGAAACTTACAAAACGAATTCACTGAGGAATTTAAAAGTTTTTTCCATAGAATATTCATTAAAGATAAAACTAAGCAAAATACCATAGAGATTCTAACTAATATTTAACACAAATTGCATATCAGTTTGTAATGTTATTTGTGTGATTGCCAATAATTAAAACTAGCTTCTGCTTAATAATTAAAGACAAATTCCAACAAATTAATTTTGGTTAATTGTCAAGCAAATAAATAAATTTGCTTTTGCTTGGGTCATGAAAAACAAAAAAAGCAGGTCAACCCAAGTAAAATGGCTAAAATAAATTGTGGAGTTTTGCTTGAAGCCTCGAAAGAAAACGTAGAAAACCAGCAGGTTAACAAATGCAATAAAGGAAACGACAACAGGCCTTGGAAGTCTCGAAAAGAAAGTAACTAGGGGTACATGGAAAAAATGGGCCATCCCAGCAACAATTTCGGTCAAATCGAAAAAAACTTTATCTCTATGTTGTTTGCCAAGTTGAATTAAACACGCCCCCAAACACACATGAAAAACAAGAAAGGAAAGCTAACTTCGGGCGGAGCCGAAGTTGATATACCCTTGCAGAATACTCTGTAAATTATATTCTCCAAAATTATTCATATGATGCATTCTTAATACTCATAAAAAATCCCAACTTTCTAACTTTAAAAACACCAAAGTTATGGCATTTCCAATAGTTCAGTTATATAACAGCTATAGGATATAGTCGGCCGATCCTTATGAAGTTTGGTAGGTCGGATTGATTGGCCAAAAATAAAACCCATAGAAAATCCCAACTTCCTAACTTAACAAACACCAAAGTTATGGCATTTCCGATCAATCAGTTATATGGCGGCTATAGGATATAGTCGGCCGATCCTTATGAAATTTGGTACGTCGGATTGATTGGCCAAATATAAAACCCATAGAAAATCCTAACTTCCTAACTTTACAAACACCAAAGTTATGGCACTTCCGATCAATAAGTTATATGGCAGCTATAAGATATAGTCGGCCGATCCTTATGAAATTTGGTAGGTCGGATTGATTGGTCAAATATAAAACCCGTAGAAAATTAAAACTTCCTAACTTTACAAACACCAAAGTTATGGCATTTCCGATCAATCAGTTATATGGCAGCTATAGGATATAGTCGGCCGATCCCGGCCGTTCCGACATATATACTGCGTGCAAAGGAAAGAAGGGTGTGTGCAAAGTTTCAATTCGATATCTTTAAAACTGAGAGACTAGTTCGCGTAGAAACAGACAGACGGACAGACAGACGGACAGACAGACGGACAGACAGACGGACAGACGGACAGACGGACAGACGGACAGACGGACATGGCTATATCAACTCAGGAGGTGATCCTGATCAAGAATATATATACTTTATAGGGTCGGAGATGTCTCCTTCACTGCGTTGCACACTTTTGACCAAAATTATAATACCCTCTGCAAGGGTATAAAAACAGTCCAAGAAAATCTCAAAGAGTTGCGAGAAATGAAATTACAACTTGCATCCTCTTCTAGTCTTTTTTTTGGCAAAGTACTTGGACAGAACCTTCAAAAGGAATTGTTTGGCTAAAGAAAACATAGAAAGGAAGGCAGTAGAAAAAAAATTGGAAAAAAATCTGAAATTAAGTTTACGCATTTTTTTACTGCTTATTCAAAAAGTCGACGTTAAAAGAGTGGAGAGCACAAACGTAAGGAATAAGGTATTTACATGGCATAAGGCACTTGAAAAATGCACAAGAGCCAACCAAATTCTGGATAAGGACTTGTTTTTTCTTTTGGTCAAGCTCTTTCCCGCAACGTAAGAGAAAAGAAGTGCAAATTTATTAATCAGGTGCGACACAAAACCGAATTTCGAACACCCTTAGGTTAAGATAAAATTAAAGTATATTACACATGCAAATTACACAAGCTTTTACTTCAAATTAGAAAAGTATTTTTTCCTATTCATTTTTTTAAGAACAGGATTTTATCTTTACGTATTTCATGATTTTACGGATTGTTTTAATCAATATTCAGCAACTCAATTGCACTTTAAATATTCAGCTTGTAAGGGTGTTCAAAAAGCAAGTGAATAATTAAGTGAGAGATGGAAACTGCCAGGGCCTTCCAGTAAGTAAATTTAACGACAGTAACTGACAGTAAAAATTGCTCAAAACTTTATTGTCCTGTGCTTTTCCCCTTTCTTGGCCCTTTACGTTTTTTTTTCGGATTTCTTTTGTTTTGTTCGGTCCGCAGCTGGTGACGCAGGATATAAATTACATTGAGAACAATAAGAGCAACAGCAGCAGAAGCAGCTACAACAAGTGTTCAGTGAATTAATAACAAAACGGCGACAATAACGACAAAGTTGAGAATCCTGAAGGGCCGTCCAAATGAAATAAGCCGAGTTGACAACTTTGGAAGCGGCTTCCTTTGCCCCGAGAGCAACTCAAAATTCCCTCCAATGCGTGAATTAATTCAGAAGACACGAGACCCACACACGCGATGCGAGTTTTGTGGGGCGAAACGCAGGTGCGTGCAGGAAAATTTTTAACGAAGGAAGTTTGGGAACTATGTCCTATTTCCATTCGAACTAATTATGACAGCTCAGGAAATACTGCAATATTTAATTATTGCAGAAGAGACAAGTTTGGAATAACTATTGGGTTAGGAAAGCTTGTTTCTGATATAAAGAAACAAGCAAATACTTTATTAGCTTAATATTACTCTCATCTTTTAAAAATCCTATAAAATAAAATTATTTCCAAAAGATTATCATGTAAGATCGTACAAAATTATTTTTTACTGAGATATCTTTTTATGTCAAGTGAAAAAGACTACCCCCTTTAATGATGCGCCTCTGATTGAAGGTGTGCTGCTCGTGTACCGCATGCTGTTGTTACCTCACCTCCATTTTCCGCTCCCCATTTTCCCTTCGGTTTCCTGCCACTTCGGCAGGATTTTCCCCTTCAGCCCCTCGACAGCTTCATAAAGCCAAGTGTTTGCGCTTTGAAGTTTCCGCTTCCGCAGTGAACAACGAAATGTTGCTGTTGTTGCTTGTTGGTTGTTGTTGCTATTGCGGCACAGCATAAAACATACTTATTTTGAAGTTGGTGGCACATCTGAAAAACACCATGAAGACACACACACACTTACAAATATCCGTGATGCTCTTGCACAGAGCCAAAATAAAACTAAGCATTGTAATAAATAAATAAAAGAACGAAGTTTATTAACAATGTGCCGATTTTATTTAGTTTGGAAAATGTTTGATATAACTGATATTTTAGACTTTTACGGTTTTCTTTTATTGTTTTGTGTATTTTGAAATTATCTATTATTTTATATTGTATAGTTTTTTTCCAGCATTTACATTCTAAATATATTTTCTGAGTGCATCATGAGTTTGCCAATGCTGAGCACTCGGCGAATTTTCATTCGGCTGCATCGTTGTTCACCTTTCAACGGCGCATCTGGTGTTTAAATCACGCAAAATTTAAATTACAAATTTCTTCTCGTTTTCAGTGGGTAAAACCCCCTAAGCGTCTAATTTAGTTTGGGAATTGTTTGCTTAAGGGGAAGTGAAGTGGCTGGGTAAATTCAGAGTAAATATTTAGTTGACTTTCGGGGGCGGAATGTTGTTTATTGTTTAACGAAAGTCCATCATTTAATCATAATTATGGCCTTTGTTAATTGAAGTTTCCATCTCTTTGACTGGGCTCCATTGTCAATTTAATTAAGGTCAGGAAAGAGGTTAAAACCTACTTGAACTCCAATCTTTATTCGCCCTTTAATGCCATAAATATTTGTACACGTTGCGGTCATAAATAACGACAGATTCATGAAATTTTATTACGAACATTTTATGCGCCAAAACCGAAATAACAAATACCAGAGTGTGAATAAAAATGTGGGGGATTTTCGGAGTTAAAGGAAACTCGATATGAGTGAAAGCGAGGGAAAAAGGCAAACACTTTCACTTTGTGCCCATTTAAGGTCGTGTATTGTGGCATTTTCCCTCCGTACGTGCAATAAATAAGCGACTTATTTATGCCCCTCACACAGACACCGCCAATAACAAAGTATTTGGGTTAGTAATGTCATTTACGAGGCAAAACAAATATAAAGCGAAAATGTAAAAAAGCTCTGTTCACGTTCATTGTATATTCCTCCCGGTAAATCCGTCTTCAATGTAAGCTCTGCTAAATCTTAAAGAAGAAAAAAAGTGGAGAACAAAAACCCAACGGACGAGCGTTCGTCTATTTAACTAACTGTGCATAATTCATAATTTAATTAAGAACCC